TGAGCATTGACACCTCTAAAATTGGTAAATACTACAAATCGGGGCTTGGGTTTATTGCTTTGTTGATGGTCTAGACTTAAGAAAGTGATGGAGAAAATGTTAAAAATGAAGGTTAATTTATGTGCCACATGTTTTGCAGCACCAATTGCTAAACATTTACCAGCACACCCCTGAAAAATAACCTAAAAGCATATAATTTATAAAGACAAAAAATATCAGACTTAACCAAATGAAATGAACATTCAGTATAACCAAAACTAATTTAGTGCCAATACCTATTAAAAGTTCATAGCTTCAAATGCTGTTAACATTTTAAATGACCCATTACTTTTAGTCTATTAGTAGTCTATGTTAGTCTATATGGTATATTTATTTTCATGGCCACCCTCTTCATAACAATACAATCCATGCCCTTTTAAGATATATTTAAAAAGTGAATACACCAGGTAGCTTAATAAAGTAAATGAAGATAAATTTTAGTGTCCCTTTGCCCTCTTGTTTTCTCATGATGTTTGAAAATATTTAGTACATCTGTTCTTTTTTTTTAGGTTATACATATGCAATCATGTTAAACGTGTTTCCACATTAGTCATGTTGTGAAAGAAGAAACAAAAAAAAAGGGAAAAAAATGGAAAAAACCAAAAAAAGTGAAAATACTATGCTTCGATCTGTATTCAGACTCCATTAGTTCTTTCTCTGGTTGTGGACAGCATTTTCCATCATCAGTCTTTGTAATTTTCTGGGATCATCGTATTGCAAAGAAGAGCTAAGTCTATCCTAATTTATCATTGGACAATTCTGTTATTACTGTGTATAACGTTCTCCTGGTTCTGCCCATTTCACTCAGCATCAGTTCACATAAATCTTTCCAGGTTTTTGTAACATAGACCTGCTCATCATTCCTCATAGCACAACAGTATTCCATTACAGTCATATACCACAACATGTTGAGCCATTCCCCTCAATTTTCAGTTTTTTGCACAAAAAGAGCTGCTATAAATATTTTTGAATATGTAGGTCCTTTTCCTTTTATATGATCTCTTTGGGATGCAGACCTAGTAGTGTTATTGCTGGGCCAAAGGGTATGCACAATTTTATAACCCTTTGGGCATAGTTCTAGATTGTTCTTCAGAACACTGGATCAGCGCACAATACCACCAAGAGCGCATTAGAGTTCCAACTTTCCCACATCTTCTCTAATATTTATCATTTTCCTCTTTTGTCATATTAACCAATCTGATAGGCATGAGGTGGCCCCTCAGAGTTGTTTTAATTTGCATTTCTCTAATCAATAGTGATTTAGGACATTTTTTTCATGACGATAGATAGCTTTGATTTCTTCATCTGAAAACTGCCTGTTCATATCATTTGACCACTTATCAATTGGGGAACAGTACATCTGTTCTGCAGAGCTTTGATCTTACTCACTGATCTCCTACCCACACTCAGCAGCCCAGCAAGACGGGACTTCATGCTATTCCCCACACAACGCTCCCTCTCCTGTTTCTACATTGTTAGACCGGCTATCCCGTAAGCCTAGAATACCCTCTCTCCTCCCCTTTACCTCATAAGAATCTCTAGTTTCCTTCAAAAGTCAGCTCAGATGCCACCTTGTATAGGAAGCTTTCCTGATACTTCTAAATTCTTAGCCCTCTGTCCTAGATAGCCTCATTTATTTTCATACATTTTGTACATATTCTTCCTCCAGATGGAATGGTAGCTTCCTTGTGTCCCCAGTGTCCAGCACAGTTTTCTTTACACAAAGAAGGCACTTAATGAAAGCTTGTTAATTGATTATCTAATTGACCAAAGGAGCTAACTGGAGGTCAGGTACCCAGGTTTGAGGAACTTAAAATAAATATTCAATTCACATTACTTGACTAATGACAAAAAGATACTTAAATTCCTTTTTTAAATTATGGCTTTGTTTGCTCGATCAGTCTAGTCCCTTTGAAGTTTTAAATTATGAAGTTTTAGGTTATATCTGTAACTAATTTTGGATCTTTAAAGTTCCCAATCACTTCAATATATCTAAAATGTCTGAAAATTTCAGAATTTTTTTTTTCCACTCAGAAATACCTGCACTGAGAGCCAGATATTTCAAAAGGATTCATATAGCCCACATAAGCTTCAAATACCTACTGGGTATTTCCACCGATATATCATGCATCACCTTGGATTCTGTAAGCCTAAATCCAAATGAATTGTTCTTCTTTGAAACTCTCTCTCCTTCCTGGCAGTTTCATTTCATTCTCCCAGTCACCCAGGCTTGAAGATCTTTCACTCCCTACTCTTTCAGGCCCTTATAGCCACTTACTCTTCAAATTCTGTCTGTTTTTCCTTCATAATAGCTCCTGTGTCCCTTCTTTTATCTCTGCTTCTAGTGTCACCCTCCATCCTGGGCTCTCACCAGGTCACTCTTGGATTATTTTAACAGCCACTCTTCTAACTGGTTTCCTATGCCTCAAGTCTTTTCCCTTTCGGTCTATTCTATATATATCTATTAGACTTATGTTCCCCAAATGACATTTTCTTTATATTTTTACTTGCTTGAAAAAGCAAACAAACAAACAAATATGCCTTCCTGGGTCCTGAGGGGAATCACTGTATATTTGTTTAAAAATGGTTCTGTTCTGTTCTAATATAGTTTAAAATGTTCCAGGAAAAGAAAAAGTCATAGCCCTTTTACAAAATGTGGATTTGAAGGGACTTTGCTTGGATAATCTGAAGCAGTTTTCATGCAAACTAATTTTTACATCAAAGGATAAGAAATTAAGTAGTTGAAATGGGCTAGATGGAAAGAAAATCTATTGCCTGGAAAGACAGTCATGGGATATTTAATGAAAACACACACACACACATCTAACACACACACACATATAGAGAAAAAAATAATGGAAATCTCCTTCCTCCATTTTACTCCAAGGTTTATGGAGGAAAAAAAATGACAATAAACAAACAATAAAGTTCTTATGGAAACAGGCAGAAAGGAACAGGACAGTTAGGTAGAGGGGCTGAAATGAGGTTAGGGGAAATACTGAGGTAAAGTTAAGCACTTTGTCACAACTTACCTGTAGGCAAGAAGTAAAGGTCTAACATACCAGAGAGCATCCAAGGTTGGAGGGATGTCGTCTACAAGAACTTTCTGATAAAATAGCGATTCTGCTTTAATTAAGTTTGTTTTTAAACCATAATTGACTTGACTGAATATCCTACCTCTGACACAATATCTGTGTGATCCTCAGAAAGTTATCTGAGCTCTCTCGGCCTTAGCTTCCTCATCCGTGAAGTAAATAAGCTGGGCTAGCTGGCTTCTACGGTCTCCAGATCTCTCTGAGTTACCTAAATTGTGAATAAGCCTACCTAGCAGGGCTCCATGCTCATACCTAGGCTGAACCTGGTGGTACTGTTGCTGTTCAGTTATTTTCAGTCATGTCCGACTCTTCACGATCCTGGAGCGGTTTGCCATTTCCTTCTCCAGCTCATTTTACATATGAGGAAACTGAAGCAAACAGGGTGAAGTGATTTGCCCAGAGTCAAACAGCTAATCTCTGAGGCAAGATTAGAATTCAGGTCTTAATGACTCCAGGCCCAGTGCTCTATCCACTGTGATACCTGGCTGGCCCTAGTGGTAACTTCCAAATTGCACACAAAAGTGACCCTAAGTAAATAGGTCCTGAAACATTAACCATTTTAAACCTAAGGCCACCCGGTGACAAAAGCATCATACACACTCATTATCTATCAGGAACCTTCCTGCCCATTATCATTACAAGAAAGTTCAGGCTCCATAGCCTGGCATCAGAGGTCCTGCCCTCCATAGGCCAGCCCAGCTGGGTAAGTGGCACAGTGGAAAGACCACTAGAGTTGGAGTCAAAGTATCTCCAGGTCAAAATCCCACCTTGGAGTTTCTTCAAGTGTAATCTTTGAGATCCCTTACAACATTTCTAGGTCTGCGCTCCCATGACATCCGAGTTTATGTCTCTCTGACCCCTCTGCTCCAGTCAGACTGGTTTACTCAATGACCCCCCAATACCTCACACGTATTCTTGTCCTTACCCTTTGCTCACTGTGTCCTCTGCCGAGAATGCCCTCTCCCTCTCCTTTCCACTTGTCCTTCAAAATCCTGCTCAATTTTTATACACTCTATATGAAAAGTTGTTCTCTGACTACACTGGGCCTCGGCCATCCTTCCTTGTATATTTCACTCATTTAGCACTGGATCACATACAACTCCCTTGTGATATGTCTCAATGGGTTATTTATGTTTTTATTGCTTATGTGTGTGCATATTATGTGTACACAAGCTTCAAAACCAACTTTCTACATCTTAAGATTCTTTCTGCCTTATTTTTCATTTATAAATTGTTGCCTACCCACATTGCTGAATAATGTCAAGCTATTCAATAATTTTATACTGTTTGAATTGTACATTTCCTATGATTAGTACCATAATTCAGAATATAGAATTGTTCTTATTATTTACAATGTAGAATGTTATTGTTTCATGATTCTAAGAGAGAACAAATAGCCTGTTATCTTAACATTTCTGATTCATAATTTTACATATTTCACCAATGGATAACAGAGGTTTGCAATGAGTATCACTAAAACGATTTTTCCTTTGTTCAGGTATTTCTTTGCTTGGTATCACATTCTATTTTTAAAGGGAAAATTCAGCCTTTTGATATGAACCAGTTATACTTATTTTCCAACATTTGGAGGTAATCAGAATTAAAAAAAAAATTAAGCTGGTCCAAAAAGAAAAGAACCACTGTACAAGTTAAAAGTAAAAAAAAAATTTATACAAGGATACCCATTGTGACAGTGTAGTATAAAACCATATACGAAATATGTAACCATGGAAAACATGAGAAATTTAATACTAAAAGAAATGACATTATTAAAAACAAAAGAAAACCTAAAAAAGAAAGCAGCTACTCACACAAGTATGTGAGCAACCATGCACATACCCATAGAAGGTGCCTAAGTACACCTACCTGCAGAGACACGAGGGCAGTCAGGCAACATGGACTCCACTGATGTATCTAATGGTTCTGAACTAGACACCCAATTACAACAGTTCTGTAAGGAAATAGAGACAATTTTCTGATGAACCAATACTTTTAAGCAAAAAAAAAATTTAGGGTCCAAAGACTATTTTTTTTCTCAATAATCAACTATTAGAAATGTATTTCCTTACCTTCCAAATACTTGAAAACACTTTTCTTTACAAACAGTTGGCAATCGTTTATCATGAATACAAAAGAGTAGTCTAAACAACTCAGCCACCCCTGTGTTTGTATTAAGGGGACACATAATCAGTGAGTGACAATACAGTCTGCTGTTAGTGAAGGGATAGCTATAAAATCATAAACAAAGGAATAATGATGAAAATGATGCTGTATTTTCACTTTTTGATCAAAATTACATATCTGATCCCGTGAACAGGAATGAATAAATTTCTGTTCTATTATTTTAATGTGGAGTCCAAGGAACAATTAAATTTATCCTTATACTAAGAAGTTGGCCTAACTGAATTTAACTTAACCCTATTCAGAAATCTAAACAGTTCAAAAGAAATAGCATCTAGCACACTGTGAAAATATTTGTTTTAGGACACAATGCCTGTCATTTTAAAGATTTACCTATAAAAGAATGCAATGATTTACAGCTCAAATAAATGAAATAAAAGAAAAATCCTACATTCCTTCCCTTCACACAGTATAAACCTTTATCTAAAAGTCTAGTCTTTTAAAAGCATGATCAGTTTCATATGGCTTTGTTTTTTAAATTTCTCAGAAAAAAAAACCCATGAATTTCCAGACAGATTTTTAAGAAATCATCCCATCAATCATGTTTGGAAAAATGGTTGATTGCTATTCTAGTAAACAAGCATGTATTGTGTATTTTTAGATGCTTGCTGCTCTAGTTGTGCACCATGGAATCCGTTCTCACTGTGGAAAGATCCTTGACTGGTAGATCAAGTGTCTTATTGTACTTCCTTAATTCATTCTGTCTGGAAGAAGATGTCAGCTGTGTTGCAGTGAGGAGAGAATTTCAAAGGCCCCAGTCCCCACCAATAAAGGCCAAGGAATGGCTTTTGAATAGATTTGTCAAGGCAACCCTACTGTTCTGGGACCAGGGAGAGCAGGAATAACATAAAGGAAGGGTTGCTGTATGAGATTAGAAAGTGAAGTTCACAAAGCATGGCAGATTTTTGTAAGAAACAGTAGATCAATGAAACTATTGAACTGTGTGGAAAAAAACATGAAAACAAACACACCATCCAGTAATGTTCTTAAACGCTATTTCTCTCTTTTAAAATTTAAAATGGATGAAAAAACCCCCCCGAGTATTTTCATGTTTCACAAAAGCTTAACGGTTTAAAGTAGAAACTATTCTATAATATGCACTCCTAATCTTAATTAACAGCTGAATGCAAAGCTGCACAATGTAGGATTGTGGAAAATATAAAGAAGTAGGGTTTTCATAAGGTATTTTATTCATCTGAAATAAGCAAAATTAATATCGCCACTGATAGAGCCCCACATCAGAGAATTCTAGATAATGCAGAAGATTAGCACACAATTAGCCAGCTTTTATATACAATGTGACACTTGCCTGTAAGAAATAAGTATTCTCCAAAGCAGTGTCAAGATATGTAAATGGATGATTTGTTTTATCATTCATCACAGCTCCTAATAAATTCAAAAATCATGACTTCTATAGGTACTAAAAATAGGCCCCCAATGATACAGGAGAGATAGCTTCAATGAAGAATGCTTTTTTTTTTTTCAACAATTCAGTCTTTCAATGACAGCAATTAGCACTACAGACAGACAGGCAGCGATTAGGTATATATTTTAATTATTATTCATTCTACAAGTTCCCCTAAATCTGATGAAAGTTAGATATTTCCTAGGTGATATCTCAGACTTAATAATTCTCATCTACACTTCACAAATGTAAAAATACTGCTTATAGGAGATTTCTAATACTAATGAATGTTAATATACTTCACTAATCATTTTTTTTCTTATGATTGGCTCTAAGTGCCTGAAATGGAAATAACTAATGAAATTTGCTTTAGCCCAAATATTTAAGGCCAACCTGTAGACATCCAAATGATACGGACTTGAAATTTTAGTTTTTATCTTGCAACAAGTTTTAAGGCTTTGATTTCTCAGAAAACATGAAAATTCCCTGACAGCTTGTGGGAGCAACATCCTTTATATTTTTAACTGTTAAGTCAGAGCTGTCAGACTGTGTCCCAGGTGATGCTTTATTCCCATCAACTCTGACCTATCAAACTGTTAAGGTTAAATCCAGAATTGGTGGTCTAGATAGAAGACTAATAAAAGAAAAGGGTCTTACTAACTGCAGAGGAAACCCAAATTTGCCTATCAACAACAAATCATGATAAATGAAGTAATCAACTTAATATTTCTTCAATTTTCGAAATAGAAACAAATTACTACAGGAAACAACCCCACAGAACTATAGTCCCTACTTGAGGAGAGAAATTAATAAACACAATTCAAGGGGTTTTTTTGTACTACAAATTTCCCTTTAACTCATCAATCCCACATAAGAGATTTAAAGGCTCAGGTGATAGTATTACTTTCAACTTCAAGTAACAAAAGAAACCCAACTTGTTCTTTTGAATAGTAAACAAAAACCTCAAATTTTGAAAAAGGCAACAACTCCTTCCCTCTCTCCCCTCTACTGTTCTGAATAAGTAAGTAAAATTAAAAACAAATATAACTGAAGCAATCTTTAAAAATTCAATAAAACTCTACTTTGTGGGGGAAGGGAGAAAACATTTGGGAACTGGCTATCAACATTGGTCAAATTACCTTAAACATTGATAAGGTTAAACTTCGAAGTTCCATTCACAGTTGTTAACATACTAGAATTAAAATCACGTCCTATTCTTAAATGATATTCCCAAAGAAATAACTACAGTGTATCTTGGAATCAGTACTAAGAAATAAACTTTAAGATTCCAAGTACTGAAGGAAGTTAGAGGATTTAAAGACTCCATACTTACAGGCAATGTGACTTTAAAAGCTTCTAAGAGGAATATATAGAAATTTCCATTACTTAAATGATTTAAAGGATGTTTTTGTTGTCATTTCAGTCATGTCTGACTGTGACCTCACTGGGGTTTCCTGGCAAAGATGCTGCAGTGGTTTGCCATTTCCTTCTCTAGCTCATTTTACAGACGAGGAAGTAAGACAAACAGGGTTTGGTGACTTGCCCAGGGTCATACAACTAGCAAGTGTCTGAAGCTAGATTTGAAATCATAAAGATTACTCTTCTGATTCCAAGCCCAGTGTTCTATTCACTGCACCACCTAGCTGCCCATGAGCAAAGGATATAAACAGGCAATTTACAACACATATTGGAAACAATCACTCGAATAACTGTTCAACCTAATCAAGGAAATTCAAATTAAAACAAATGTGAGGTACCACTACACACCCATCAAATTGACAAAAATAACAGAAAAGGACAAAACTCAATATTGGCAGGATTGTGGAGAAACAGGTACACTCATAAATTGCTGGAGGAATTGTAAACTGGTAGAATCTTTTGGGAGAGCAAGCTGGAAGTACACAACAAGAATCATAAACATTGTCATATCTTTCAACCCAGTCACCTCATTATTGGGACTAGCTCCTAAGACATTTATCTTAAAAAGGCTATCCATTAAAATATAAATGAATGTATACATAATGTATATATTAAGGATATAATATGCATATACATAGTCCCACAGATAGGCATATGTGTGTTATTTGTAGGTGTCTAACAGTTTGGTGAAGTGCTAAATATTGTATATCAATGGAATAAAATTTTACATGCATTCAAAAGATTTGTGAATTCATCAGTTCAGGGGATTCCTTGTATGAGAAATCCTTCCCTCTTCATGGTAAATGAGTTGTCTAAGGCACACAGAGGTTAACTGATTTGCCCAGGGTCAGAGTTATTAACTGTTTGAATTGGGATTTGAACTCATGACTTAAGGACTCCCAACACAGCACTTAATGCACCATGCCAAGTTGCCCCTATGTGTTCTACTGAATTACAATGGTAAACTATGAGGAACATAAAAAAAAAATTTGGAAAGACATATGAAAGGAGGAAAGCAGAATCAGTACAACACAGATACAACTATGACTATGCAGAGGAGAAAAATGCATACACAAATACAGAGGTAAATGAATAAACAAAGAGAAAGGAAGCAGACAGAAAGAGAGTAACTAAGAAACTGTTAGGAATATTTTTATGTCTGAATTCATTTTTAAAATGTAAATAGTTGTAAATGTGTGCTTTAATTGGTTTTGTTGTTTAAAGTTAATTCCATATCACAAGCTAGCAAAAGTTTGACTTATGTTGTTTTTTAAATCTCTTTTGGAAAAATAAATGAAAACACTAAAGAAGAAAATGCTGTCATTAAGGTAGAAGAGAAACATGAAGGAAATGCAATGCGTGCCACACCCAAGGAATTACACCCAGAAAGTGGAGGTGCCAAGAGGTATGGTGGGTTACTCACGTTCTCTAGACATCAGGGATTTGGAAATTTTTATTTTGCTGTGTGGGCTGAACAGTGGGAATAATCGGCTTGTGGAGCCAGCTATTTATTCAGTGCTCAGAATTTCCTCCATCAAAATGTAAGCAGTGACAAAAACCCATGAAAAGACCACCTGATAAAGAAGCAGCAGACAGGGAGAACATAGGCTTGTTTTCCCTGACCTAGAACACAAGTGTGGTGGGGTAGGAAGTAGCCAGTCTCTATTTCCAAAAATATGTTAAAAAAAGGACAACTGATAATTACTACAAATATGCCCTATCTATGCAAAGATAAGCCTCAAATATGGCTGCCTAAAGGACATGTTGGACATCCAGTGACATATAAGGGTCAGATTAAATCACCCTCCCTATCTGCAAAATCCAAAGCCGAATCATATGACACAAAAAGGGATTATGGCTGAGGGTTGTGTGGGGCCACTTCTCGGACAGAGAAGGAAATTCTCCCACTTAGTCTAATCAGTCCTGGAGATCAGGAGAACAAATAC